TACTTTATATATATATATTTCTTTTTCGTATTCACTAACTAGATAATTGCTTCATAGTATTTTGTTAATTTTTGATTATATTATAATAGGCCTATATTATTTATAATATTGTATTGTATATGTTAAACTGGATGAGTGAAGTTCACAGACGTTTTGTTATAGTGATTAAGTTCGCCACCCGCTAGCTTATATAATTTGTTGTAGGCCTATTTGTATTCTGTATATTGTGGCGAATAAAGAATAAGAATGCTTTAATACTATAATGCGTTAGTGTGACATGTGTGATAGTGATAGTTGCATTAAAAAAAATATTTTTTGCTTGATGAACTTTGATGTTTTGTATTTCTGTCTTTCTCTTCCCCATATTGGGTTATTTTTCTGAATAATTGAAATTGAATTAAGTCGGTGTAACAATGCAAAAACTATTTTTAAAACATTGAATTGCTCATTCAAAAGCATCAGAAATAAATTATAGCCTGGTTCTCACGAGAACCCTAGTATCAGGATCGGGAGCTAACCGTTAGCGCTAACCGTTAGCACCTACGTGCGAACGCCCGATCGATTAGCGCTAACCGTTAGCGGTATCCGGATACCGCTAACTGTTAGCAAGCGCTATCGGTTAGCAAGTGAGCGCGTTTCTATCACCAACCAATCACACGTACGTGTTTACAATTTCCAGTTTCTTATAGGCCAGTGATTCGATCATCATATTGTTGGTGTCTGGATCGGGATTTTCTCGTATGGACACACGGCAGCTAACGGTTAGCAGGATCCGGATCCTGCTAACCGTTAGCTGCCGTGTAAGAACATAGCCTTCGATTGAGTTGGTTTACTAATTCTTTTATTCCGAAAGAATATAAGAACTGTATTGTGGATTCATGTGTTAATTGGCGAGGAAAATGGACCTTTCTGCTAAGCACCACCCCGTGAATATTGTTGCTAAAGTCCCACAAAATAACAGTGTAAATATTTACGCAAACACGTGGAATCGACAACGCATGCGTTAAAATTCTTGCCAATCAATAACTCATATTATTATTTTTGTTTTCAACCTCAGAAGGGTAAAGTGAAGAGGCACTCGGAGCATCACCTAAAGATATGCCTTTGTGTAGGACGATCTTTTTGATTATATAGGCCTATAAGCCTACCAAATAGATGATCATACTTGCACCGCGAAGACTGGTATTGATATTCACAACATTTTTCCATTCCAACTATCTAAGTCTATTATGCAGACTACAATAACAAATAGGGCTTTTTTTGTCCAGTTTAAATTATGGTCCGATTTGGGTTCAGATATTTTGGCAAGACTTAATTTTGGTCTGAGTTCAGCACGGGGCACATGGCAGTGATATGTAGGCCTATTGTAAAATGAAAAATTGTTTATTCTCAAAACGTACATCATAATTTCTCAAAAAAGGTATTTTCACAGTAGATCCGATATGCGGACAGAGTTAGATTCATACATATAAGCCTATTTAGACACCCCCTATGAAAGGTGCCCAGCCGTAATGTCCCTCATTTGTCAAAACTAAAAAAAATGAGCCTATTCCGGGCATTTGAAGTGCCATAGGCCTAATCATAATTTGCGACTCCCCAGTAGAGAATAGACTTTAGGTCCTTGATTAGACCTTTGCGACGCCCGTGAGCGAGGGGTGTCTAAAGGGAAGCATAGCTCCTGTCGGGAGGAAGTCAACAATTTTGTCGAGTAACACTGCTTTGAAAAAGCATTTTTACCATATGAGAGTGCCATTTCAGAGGGTTTAGAAACTAGGGCCTATTCTTAAAATTTGCTCACCTCAGCCCCAACCATGGTGGGGCTGAGGTGGTGTGGAATACCTATCCCCCCTCCCCGTCAGGAAATTTCTGGATATAATTCATTATTTGACATATAATTGACTAGATCACCCATTATTTATATATAGTGCCTTTACGTCTAAAAGATTATATGTAAATAATTGCGATAATAAATAAGGAAGGGGAAACACATCATTATATATATAATGAAAAATAACTTACAATTATTTATATATACTGTAATAAGTTCACTGATTCCATTATATATAAATAATGAAAAGGTGACAAATCATTATATATATATAATGAAAAGTAACTTACAATTATTTATATATAATAAATTCATTGATTTCATTATATATAAATAACGAATTGACTTCAAGCTCATTATTCATAAATAACTGCTTTTACATTTCATTATATATAAATAATAGCTGCCGCAAAACCATAATGCTCGGACTTCAAACTCATTATATGTAATGCACGCGTGTTATCGTGTCAAGGTCATTATATCTAAATAATGGCTTTTACTTCCAATTATATATAGGCCTAAATAACCGTTGAAGTCAAGTGCCATTATATCTAAATAATGACATCGTAAGAGGCATGGTTTATAAATAATTCGTTATGCAAATTACGAAGTAATAAATATTCACCAGTGCTGTAAAATTTCAATTAGGTCCTATTCACCTATCGAAAATGGCAAAGCAAGGTTTACAGCAGATTATTGAATCCAGTGGTGGCGCCAATAGTAATAATAATAATAATAATAATGATAATGATAATAATAATAATAATAATAATAATAATAATAATAATAATAATAACAATAATAATAATAATAATAATAATAATAATAATAATAATATTAGTTCAATGAAACTAATTTAAAATATTTTGCGTTCTGTTATGACAAATGCTCGTTTGGATAGCCTGATGATGCTTGAAATACATCGCGATAGGGGAAGCAACCTCGACCCTGACATCGTGGTTGACAGATTCCGTGCAAAATTTCCATAATGTAGAATTTCACTTTAAAGAAAGAGGATTTGTTAGGAAATGAGATGGTTACATTGCAAACTCTTTGTTTCTTGTTTTATTCAAAACGTTTTGGTTTTGGAAGCTGATTTCGACATTAGAAAACATAGCCTACATAAAGTCATATTATAGTAGCTTAATGCCTATCCAATATGTAATAAAAAAATCGCCATAATTCGTCAAATATCATCATATTTTATTGTCACAAATCAAAGTATACATTCAATATACAATATTGTAAGACAAAAAGACAAAAAAAAAAAGCTTTCGCTTATCAAGTTTTGGCCTAGAAATTATAACTGAATTAGTAACAAGGGCAGAGTAATAATAATAATAATCAAAAATAATAATTTAAATATCTTAATAATAATAATAATAACATCAAATAATAATTTAAATATCTTAATAATAATAATAACATCAAATAAAAACAATAATACACAAATAATATCACTGATGTGCCATTAAAAGAGCTCTAAATAATAAAGATGTTCTATAATTAAAAGACATACACTGATAATAGATATTGTTTAACTTTAAAAGTAAAATTTTTCCTTGATGAGAGTGTTTTAATATCTTCGGGTAGGTTTTTCCAGAGTTTTGTACCATTATAAAAATACACTAGACTGTGCAGGTGATGTTCGGAATTTTGGGATAATTAAATTAAAGGGGTTGTTAAATCTTGTATTCTTCGAATGTGTTACTAATATAAAATACATATCAATGGTATGTGGTAATCTACAATAAAAAAGATCTGATACAAACTTCAGTACATATAAATCATACAACTTAAATACATCTAAAATATTAAGTTGCTTAAACAAAGGTGTAGAACGTGCTTTGAAATCAGAAAAAGTAACACACCGTACATACATCTTTTGAATAAGTAAAATTTGATTTAAGTACGATGAGCATGTACCTCCCCAAACCTCGATCCCACATGTTAATAGCGGCAGAATAAAAGAATTATAGATTAACAGTAGGATATATTGAGGAATAAAGTAACGCAGCTTGAATATAATACCTATTTTCGTACGAATATTTTTACATAAATTATGAATATGACTCTTCCAAGATAAGTGTTTATCTAAAGTTATACCAACGAAAGATACTTCTTCAACTTCATTAATGGGTTGTCTATGTATAAATAGACTGCCATTTCTGTACATTACCTTGCCTCTATTATAAAATAAAATATAATTCGTTTTGCTGTAGTTTATTGTCAACTTATTTGCATTACACCAGTTAGAAACTTTACTTAATTGCTCATTGGCTTCAGTTAAATCAATTGCATTACCCGGAAAGGAATGAAATAAGTTAGAATCATCGGCAAATAGACGAAAATCGAAATAATCAGTTGAATTTGGAAGGTCGTTAATGTATATCAAGAAAAGAACTGGGCTTAGGACTGAGCCTTGTGGTACACCATGGATCAATTCTCCGGGGTCAGAGAGAATATTGTGGGAACAAACATACCGGGTCTTATTTCTCAAATAATCAGTTAACCAAAGGAGAGTTTCTCCCCGAACACCATAATGGGATAGTTTGGAAATTAAAATTTTATGATTAATGGTATCGAATGCTTTACTGAAATCTATAAAAACTCCGAGAGAACAATTACCTTTATCAATGTCAGAAAGTAAAGTGTGAACTAAATTAATCATCGATAACTTTGTACTGTAACGCTCACGGAATCCATACTGTAGTCGACCTCACGGGATCAACTTATTTCGTGGTTGAGGGCGCCAAAGTTCCCAACTCAGACAATAACAAACACCAGCGACAACTGCGTACGTATGAACATAGAGAAAATAGAACTGTTCTATTTTCTCTATGGTATGAACATGTAAATAACTTTATTGCACTCCTTTGTCTC